ATCAATAAATGAATCCATAAGACAGGTGATCATGAGTAGCAGCCCTAGTGGCTGCATTGGCAGCTTACTCCAGCACAGAGTACAGACCAGGGCCCCATGCGTTGCACCATGAGAGCAGTTAACCGATAACCCCATTGTCTAGCATAGTGCAGGTAATTGCATCGTGGGCTTCAGAGAGCTGACAGCGCCGTCTCTTTACAGTGTGTCACACCACCCAAGTGCAAAGTTTAATGACTCTGTTAAAGGAGAGCCCCTTTTAGAAGTTAATGCGCGCTGCTGATGGAACTACTATTATGGTATCACTGGCTTGTGTGTGTGTGTCAGGGACAAAGAGTTCGCCTGTACCATTTGTCTAAGAAGGTGTGTTTGTTCCTGATTTGTGTGGTGTGTGTGTGTGTCCGTTTATACCCAACATTTATCTTTTATGTGCCCGTTTGTTTTTATGTGACATCTTCATATCCTCATCCATTTATTATTATTTTTCATTTGTTCTCCAGAACATCACTGTGTTCCTTCTGTCCAACCATATATCACCTTCCCGCCCACGCCCGTGGGCAGCAGGGTGGTGCAGCAAACAGGGAGATTGTTTCTCGTATAAAGTGCCATGCTCTAGTCTCCCCCGAACAGGACTGCGAGTCCCAGTCAGCCCCGGGGGGCCTCTGCTTCTGTCTTTCTGTGTAGTGGGAAATTAGGTTGCAGCTTTCCTCCTGAGATCGGAAAACTACGCCTTGCAAAGACTTACCCGTTGTTTTATTTTACATTTGCTACGTACTGCTCTGAACTATCCGCAACCCTCATTGCTCACTCACGTCCTCAGTGTGACAAAATTTATGTCAGTTTTTATTTGCGGTTTTCTTAAGACGGACTGTTCAGATGAGTAACTGAAGGGGTTCTTCTTCTTCTCTATCTACGCTTTGACCAAAGCCAGAATGGTCGACCTGGACAAATTACTGCAGCCGCATGGCTTTGCATGGATGGCGGCTTCAGTCCAGTCTGTTTCTGCAGCATTTGTCAATGTCAGCCCATTGCTCTGCTTGTCTGCTAAGTCCCAGTCAACATCTGTATGCACAGATCCAAGTGGAATCTGTCAATAAGTCCCAAGTCAAGGCTGCGGCCTCTCGAGTCAAGGCTGCGGCCTCTCGAGTCAAGGCTGCGGCCTCTCGAGTCAAGGCTGCGGCCTCTCGAGTCAAGGCTGCGGCCTCTCGAGTCAAGGCTGCGGCCTCTCGAGTCAAGGCTGCCGCCTATGAAATAGGTCTCTAGTCCGTGAAAGCCAGTCACGCGTATCAAGGCCTTCAGGCAACTTTAGATCATTGAGGGCTGAAACCAAGTCATGTCACATGACTTTTGTAGCAAAACGCATGTCCGGGTGCATGTCCTTCAAGTCTTTATTACATATGTTCTTATTCAAGCTGTTAATGGTGGTTCCTACATGCTGCAGATGCGATCAAGTATCTTCAATCTAAAGGATATTCTATCTGAACGGCAAAAGGTGCCTACAAATTTGTTATTGAACACCTTAATGTTTCACTTTTAAGTCTTCCCAGTCTTTAGGGAGTACAATCTCCATCCTCTGATGGGAGTCCAAAAGTCATTCCTATCCTCAGGCCGTTTGAAGTCTCCGTTCCTCCCCCACTGCGAAGGGTAGTGGCCGGGCAATGGTGGTCCCAGTGCAGCATCAGTGGCCTTGGTTTGTCCCCGTCGTGGTGCTACGTCTTCTGGCAGGTTGAGCCTCCTGAGCCCTGCAGTCTGCCTTGGGGTGGGCTGGCTGATGAGTATCCCCCGCAGGTCTTGGTGAGGACAGCCAGTGCCTGAGCTGATCCTGCCTCGGGGCTAAAGAGCAAAGACCAAGACGAATTATGATACAATCTGCGTTCACTGGGCGGGATTTCAATGCTCTGTGTCTGTAAGGATGCAACATTATATATCAGGGAGCTGGATGACTTTGCCTGTGACAGAAAGCCGTATGCAGGGTCTGCCTTTACCATCAGTCCAGAATTGTCACATTTAGTTCTAGCAAAAAGGACGAAAACAGTGAAAGCCATTGAATGTTCATGTTTCCTGTTGCCGTCTGTGACTGTACTAAGGAAGTTTCCGCCCCTTTGCAACCCGTGTCATGTCATCTGTTTTCTTTTAGCAATGAAAGTCGGCCACGTCTTGTCCTAAAATAGGCTAAGGCCTAAATCGGAAACCTGGCTCAGTGATCTACATTATTCATCTAATCATGGGTAATTATTTAAGAAACAAGCTTTGAAATTGGTGTTTAGTAGCTTGTGTGTCTCGTCCTATTAGTCGCCATGGGCAGCAGAGAGGCAGAGCTTTTGTTTCTTTGTCACATGTTCTTTCTCTAACTACACCCCCTATACCCAAGAGTTACCCTTTGGTTTTCTTTTCTGTCTGTGTTTGTCTCTCTTTCTCCCCCCTCGTGCCCCCACAGGCCCATTAGTGTGTCTAACTAGGCTGTGATTACAGGACTTATGTGTTCAGTGTGTGATCATAGGGCCAACTTTGTCCTGTGGGTCTCTCTCTGTGACTGACTGCTCACTAAGGCACACTGATCCCTTTGTGTATTGCCCCAAGTATTCATTTATTTGCACTTGGCTCTCTCTTGCTGAACTGACTTATTTAGTCTATTCTCCCTTTCAAGTTGTCTCTCTGTCTTGCTCCCCTTCGCCCTCGTCCGCCTCCCACCTGGGCCTTTTCTCAGTGTCTCTCCACCACCCTTGGCCTCTCCCGTTCTAATCTCCTCCAAATGCCTCTCTGTTATCAGCTAACCACAGAGCCATGCTTTGGGCACCCGGCAGCGTTAACCCCCAAAATACTAAAGTATTTAGTAAAGGACTTCTCAGGGTCGAGCGAGGCTTCCCCGCCTGCCGACCAAGGTGTTTCACGCCCCCCCAAAAAGACGCAAAAAGACAGCTATGCATTCAGATATCAAAATGTGGCGACGATGAGACGACATTCTCAAAATAAAATCGATGTAAAATTGTTAACGATCCTCGCCTACGCGAAAATGGCCTCGGGAAAAAAAAAAATGTAAAATGACGTTTTCTAAAGTTATTTTTAACTTAAGTAAAATGGTTCGTTTGAGAAGTTCATCCATCTTCAGGTTTTCTTGATGCAGTTGATGTTTCTTATTGCCACGGATACACTAAAAAAAAGTCTTCCCTCCCCCCATTTCGGAGTTCGGCACGTCTACATGTGAGCGTCCATAGCTTCGCCGTCAGAGCAGTCAGTGAGGTTGTGTTTTAAAGGCCTCCACCTTGAGTTATGCTGCGTAGGTTTCTACTCTTTGCGGCCATGTGCCGGGTTGTCGATGTGGCGGAATACTTTTCATGTAGCAGTGGGTATGAGACCAAATTCTCAAACAACAACAAGGTTGTTGTTTTTTTGTCAAAGAGTCTACACTATCACGACTGCCACAGAGGTCGTTTTTAATGGTCCTTTCAAGGCTGTTTGTTAAAAGTATAAGCGGAAAGCAGAAGTACATGACTGAAGGTGGCACTCTCCAAGGGTGTTTTTTCAAATTGTAAAAGGGTTTTGTCTCCTATTACCACAAAGGGGTGTGTGTGTTTGTGGGGGGGGCGCGGTTCCTCCACTGCAGTCTTTCTTAACCAACAAGCATAGGTTACTTTAATGTCAGCAAATCCTTTAAAAATTAGGCAGTAATGCCCCCCCCCCCCCCCTGTGTCGCTACCGATGTCGATGTTACATTATAGATTAGGATAAATGTGGTGATGAAGGGTTTTCCGTACGCCCGCTGACTTTGAAATGACCATTTTTGCTCTGCTCAACACAACTGGACTTTAAACGGTTTCTTTTTTGGGTGCCGAGTCCGCTTTACACCGTGTGGTTAGGTTGTATTTTCATGTGGTTGATGTACTTGGATCCTGTACTTTTAAGTAAAACTAGCAGTTTTACTACAACTGAATATTTTGTTGTTGTTGCTGTTGTTTAAAGTATACTGTAGATATAAATAAATCAAAATAGGTCATCCACGTAAATCGTGTAGATCCGAAGAGCCACCGTTTCTGAGATTGGACAGACGCTCAGCGCTCCCCTGTCCGTGGCCCTGATAACAGACGGCCAGCGCTCCCCTGTCCGTGGTCCTGAGAGCAGACGCCCAGCTCTCCCCTGTCCGTGGTCCTGAGAGCAGACGCCCAGCGCTCCCTGTCCGTGGTCCTGAGAGCAGACGCTCAGCGCTCCCCTGTCCGTGGTCCTGAGAGCAGACGCCCAGCGCTCCCCTGTCCGTGGTCCTAAGAACAGACGCCCAGCGCTCCCCTGTCCGTGGTCCTGAGAGCAGACGCTCAGCGCTCCCCTGTCCGTGGTCCTGAGAGCAGACGCTCCCCTGTCCGTGGTCCTGAGAGCAGACGCTCAGCGCTCCCCTGTCCGTGGTCCTGAGAGCAGACGCTCAGCGCTCCCCTGTCCGTGGTCCTGGGAGCAGACTAAGTTAACACTGTCTCACGGGGGAATTGAAAGCTATATGAAGGTATCGTTGCACTCTGGACTTGTTTTGAGAGCTTCAGGGTTGTTTTCTTTGCTGCCAGTGGTGCTTTTTTACTGATCCAGGATGATGGAAAGCACTCTTTGAGTTCCAGTTTGAGTCCTACAGATGGTATCAGAATCAGAAGCCATTTATTGCCACGTATGGTACACATAGAGGAATTTGACTTGGTACATTAGTGCAATATAATATATATATATATATGAGTTAATTATAACATTAATATTAATGCACTGTCATGTGTTCACCCGTGACCAGCTTTTGATATGCCTGCCTCTATGTCAATGGCCTTCTGCAGTTATTCCACCCTAAACATGTCATGATGCACTTGTTGGACTTTACGGGTTCATCTTTTGCGTTATTCGTTGACCTACCCGCACACTGTTGGCAACGTAGTTTATACTGATGACAGGAAATGAATGCAGACTGGCTCTTAAATCCCTCACACGCTGACCTCTACTCTTCTGTTTGTGTTTCCCCCTCCCTTTATTTCCTGCAGTGGTGCTGCTGAATTCTAAAGAGACTCAGGCGGAGCTGGGCTGGACGTCCTATCCCCCCAACGGAGTAAGTGTGCTTACTCGCATTTTTCACCTGCGGTCCGTGGGTTTGTTTATTTTTCCGTTCATGTGCTTTGCTCCAGAACACAGCTGGCCCAGACCACTTCATTTCCAACCCCCTGCAGCCCCCCGCCTCACTCCGTTTCTATTTCTTGCCTCTTCTCCTCAGCGTTCCCTTCCTTTCTCACACCTTCTCCTCTCTTCCAGTCCAGAGCTCACTATTTATTGATGGGGCTCATGCAGGCGAGGCTGCTGCGGTGTCCAAACGAGTTACGCAGACATTCCTCTACACGGATAAATGTGCCCCTCTCAGTATTGATCGCTTGAAAAAAAAATAGAAGAAAAACAGCTTAGTGCTAAGTTATGACTGTAATTTAGCTCCGGGAGCACTTTTTAATTTTTTTTAAAGAGACAGCTAAAGCACCTTGTTACCCAGTTCCCATCTGGAGTCTGGCCAATACGTCCACAACACACCCATGGTAAATATTTTATAAGCAGCAGCGTACACATACACTGTTTAGCATTTGGTATGTTGAATCACTGTCCGCTCGGGTGGGGGGGGTCATGCAAAGCTAAATCTTATCCCGGTATCATACTTAAAATGCAAGATGAACTCTTAATATAGTTTGTTAATTAATCAATAATTGCCATACAGCTTCTAATTGTTAAAACTATGGCAGGATCGTTGTGGTTGGATTGATGTTGATGACCTGTGAACACGATCATTTTGATACCATCTTTGAAAAAGAAAAAAGATGAGAACTGATACAGATATAATTGAAAAAGACAAATCTTCTGTAATAATTCCTCGCTTGGTGAAATCCAGAAGTAAGGCTGGAGCTGCTCCGAATACTAAATTAGATGTTTTTATTTGACTTTCAAAACAGTCTCATTAACCATTTCCAGAGCAAATTTGTACACGTTTGCTGTATGTCTATTCAAAGGCAATTTCTTCAGAGTGAAAGCAGCGATTTGTAGGCCAAAAATACTTACAAAGCATCCGTCTCAAATGCCATTACGTCCAGTGACAGAGGCAGTGGGGATAAAGAGGCACGAGCTGAGAAAGCCACTAAAGTCTGACCCGTAGTCTCGGAAAGGAGGCTGATGTAATGGCCACGGTCATGCAGTTTGTCGTCTGCTCTGTGACGTTATTAAGGAATCTGAGTGCCGATGATTCCAGACACTCATTAGATTATGTCATCGGACCGTTAACCTGCACAGACTGTATTCTTTCTCTCGGACTTTTGACTTTCTTCATTATCTCTCGTTCCTGCTGATTCACCGTACGTTGTGTTCAGCCTTAATCTTCAATCCCCATTTCCTGTATTTTGACATTGCATTACACTCCATCCTTTTAATTGTTTGATTGTTTTGTCCCCCCCGCCTCTGTCAGTGGGAGGAGATCAGCGGCGTGGATGAGAAGTACAAACCAATCCGGACGTACCAGGTGTGCAACGTGATGGAGCCCACGCAGCAGAACAACTGGCTGCAGACGGGCTGGGTGGCGCGTCGAGGCGGCCAGCGCATTTTTGTGGAGCTCCAGTTCACGCTGCGCGACTGCAACAGCATCCCCGGCGTGGCCGGCACGTGCAAGGAGACCTTCAACCTTCTGTACGTGGAGACGGACCGGGACCTCGGCGGCGTGACCCGCGAGGACCGCTACACCAAGATCGACACCATCGCGGCGGACGAGAGCTTCACGCAGGGCGACCTGGGCGAGCGGAAGATGAAGCTGAACACGGAGGTGCGCGAGATCGGCCACCTCAACCGCAAGGGCTTCCACCTGGCCTTCCAGGACGTGGGCGCCTGCGTGGCCCTGGTGGCCGTGCGGGTGTACTACAAGCGCTGCCTGGCCACCGTGCAGAACCTGGCGGTGTTCCCCGACACGGTGGCCGAGGCGGCCTTCGCCACGCTGGTGGAGGTGCGCGGCGCCTGCGTCAACAACTCCGAGGTCGACGCCGACAGCCCTCCCAGGATGCACTGCAGCGCCGAGGGGGAGTGGCTGGTGCCAATCGGCAAGTGCAGCTGCAGCGCCGGCTACGAGGAGGGACACAGCAGCTGTGAAGGTAGGAAGTGAAGGAGTACACTGGTGGATAGAGGAGGGGAAGGAAAAGATCGATAAACGGGATTGTTTGAGGCGTATTTAAAAAGCAGAGGGGGCGAAGGACATCAAGTGTTGTTCACTTCCAGTTCTTCACCAGAATCAAAACTGATGTGAGAAAGAAATGGAGCAATGAGAACAAATGTCCAACTTGCATATTCTGTGTTTTTGCTTTGCTAGCAGTTTCCAGATAAGATAAATTCCCTTCTTTCTACCTCCAATAAAGGACGGACAATAATGACTTATTAAGGAGATTTTTGCAGTGAAGCTGAGGAGACAAACTGGCGAGGGAAAGGAGGGGCAAAGGAAAGAGACTTGTAAATGAGATGTTCCCAGTAGAAGAACAGAATAGATTAAAAGAAGTGAAGGAAAGCCAGAGAGGAAAGATTGAGCCGTGGATATAACGTAAGGGTGAATGCGATTGCATGTAAGAAAGTGTCGAGACAAGGAGATGAGTGCACTTTTATTTTTGAAAGGACACACAATGGAAGCAGAGAAAAGCACTCTCCCTGCCGATAATGCCGATGTGAAATCAATGCAGGGCATGCAGCGAGGTGAACGGCGTGTGACTACACACATCGCCGTGTGAGGTGTGCGTGTGAACACAGTGACTCGTTTAGTCTTTCTTCAGATGCCTGTTGGGTTTAACACCACAGCCTCTCTTCTAACAGTTGTGTGTGGCCTTCATGACCTACACACCCAGTAGCATGAAGCATTGTCCCCGTACAGCTGGTGGGTGGCGCGCTCTGACGTAAACGCAGAGGGACGCTATTGGAAAACCTTTTGTCACAAGCCATTGCTCAGGCGGCGGCAGCAGCAGCAGTTTCATCGCCTGACTCTTGCTGTTCGCTTTCGCACCCCATCTTGCAATTGTTTGTGCAATGCAGCGTGGGTGTTGTTGTCACTGGACAGCAGACCGCCTAATGTAGGGAGGGAGGGCGGGTTAGTCAGAGCTTTGGACCCTTCAGTCCTTGTAGTTCTGTTGATTGCTATTACTGGAAGTGAACTACTTGACGTCCGATTTACAGTTGCTTGGTTTTCCAGCCAACTTCAGACCTGTCGAGCAGTTGATTGAAGGCAGAAACACAGAGAAAGATAAGAGACGGATGGATTTAGTGGACTGACGTTGTGTTAAGCCAAAGATGAAAAGACCATCTGTGTTCGAGGACAGTGTCCGTGCTTTTTAAAATAAACTTCCAATATATATTTTACTTTTGTTTTCCATTTTAGGTTTATATATGCACAAAAAATAATTGTAGTCGTGGGCCAAAACAAGTATATTCCTTCCATAGCATGCCTAGTTTTGTTGCGTACTTGGTGAAGTCCAGAAGTTGCAGAGCAAATCTGCAGTAAAATGAGGAAACACTTGACGGGAGCCAAACACTGTTTCCTGAGGGGAAGTCCTGCGTTTGTTTGGCCCCTGGATGACCCGAGTTGAACTTTCTCGCTGTCCATCACACGTCGGTTGACTGTCTAATAACAACCTTGGATGTGTTTGAGTGGCGGCTGCGCCGCTTATTATGTTTAAACTCGTTCTGCCCCTTTTGTTTTGTCTCTAATAAAAGCTGAGCTCGGAACGATGAAGATCCAACACACGGAGAGCAGATCGGGAGACACTGTAGGGATGAAGTGCAAGGAGGGAAAATGTGAGATTTCTGCCAGGAGACTGAAAAGGAAAATAGAGGAGGGACCGGCAAGGAGGGTGAAGTCCAGTGGGGGGAGAGGGAGAGAGTGCCGTTTCTCTGGTGCTCGTCCTTCTTTGGCCAAAGTTTAGTGAGCAGCAGGTTGGCCTGTACTGCCTCCCGCCCCCTGAGATCTACTCACACAAACACACACACATTAATACACGCACACACTTCTCATTTGGTGCCTCATTTCTCAGTCCAGCTGTAATGGTATTAATATGCACCCCCAACCCACGACACCTCCCACTGCACCAGAGCTATTGATCAGCTGTAATGCTCCACTAAACTGAGGAATTGCGCTGGGACTGCTCATAAGCACATTCAGCAGCGTGTGCGCACACACACACACACTTGATTTCTTTTGGTACCCGGTGTGTGGACAAGAAAGACATTGTAGGATAACAGCAGTGTGTTACAGGGACTTTGTGTCGCAATCACGCTGGCGTTCGCGCCTCTCGAGGACATGCACGGCCGCCTGCCGCCAGACACAAAAACATAACCCTGCAACGTTCAGCCAATTTCTCTGTGTGCGTTCGTCGCTACGTCTTATTTACTCTGGGGTCTAATGTAAGTTGAGTGAATGCAAATGCACTAAGCGCCTCCGGGCCGGTCGATGGTATCGAACGGCCGGTGAGTAGCTATTGATAATAGTCCAAGCAGATAGTGTCGCGCAGGAGAGAAGAGCATCGTTACCACACGCCGGTCACACACACACACACACACACACACACACACACACACACACACACCGGATTCAGATTGCAGCGTCTTTGGCTCGTTGGACCGTCTCTAACGTTTTGTGCCATTTTCATGGCGACATGGATCATTATTATTCCATTGCTGACTGACTTGAGTTGGCTTCATTTAACAGGAAGATTCAGCAGAAAGCCCAACTGTGTGTTTGCTTGTGATATTTCTCCAAATACTCTCAGGTTGAAAATATGAGATGATGGTTTTGGATGTGTTTGTTTTCAGGCTTTACAATTTTTATTATTTTTTCACATATATATATTTGTATTACAGTGCCTCTACAGTTAATCCCCCTGTGAATCCCCTATAATATATTTACCGAGCGCCACTTCACACACAGACAAATTAACCTACATTTGAACTCCTTTTTACTCTGAAGACGTAATTGTATTACAACCAATTTAAATGTGCATTTTTGGGATCTTGGGTTGAGCACAACAAACGCACCCAGGTGAGACATGAGATAATTAAATCTATTCCCCTGACACATACTGAGATTCTTTCCCCACATGTCTTGTTCCTTTTTTGCCTAAAGTAAGATGATCTATGCAAGAACATCACAAAACATTTTCAAAGAAATTTCCACTTAATTTGAATCAAACAGTGACAACTTGAAGTGACTCACAGTCCCTTTAGAATGCATTATAGTCATGCATGTCATTGAAAGCGTCACAAAAAGGTGTTTAGGATTTAAATTTGAGTAATATGCACTATTCAATCGGCCATTAACTACTGAAAGAAAAAAACCTGGGCTCTAAAATGAATGAGACTCCCTTAATCCCGAGGGGCTCAGAAGGCTGGAAGACCGCGAAGAGGAGCGTAAATGTGAAGGACTCTGTTAATGAAAATGATCACAGCCGCCCACTCGGCTTCCTCTTTTCAGAACACTTGTTACTATTCGTTTCGACCCCGCGTGCAGTCAAATTGTTTTGTTACGAAATGCCGGAAGCAGGAACACGCGGGGGGGGTGATGAATGATGTAACAATTCACCTCGCTGACACAGTTACATGCGCGTTTGTGCGCGTGTGTCTTCCAGTCGCGTTGGTGAGCTCCATCCTGTTCCAATTAAGGCAGGCTGCTCTCTCCCTATAATTACCGCGTGCAGCGCGCCTTCAGCAGACTCTTATTATCTGTTGTTTGCCGCTCCGCAATCTGTCTCTAAGCACATTCGCCACCCCGCTATTCCTCTCCCATTGCTCTCCTTCCCGCTGTAATTTACTACACGCCTCCTTTCTCCCCCTCAACCCCCCCCCATGCTCTCCTTCATTCCACAAAGACGTGTAGGCTTCATTTTAATCCAACTGATCTCAGCGGTGACTTTCTTTCTACCTCCGGTTCTCTACGTCCTCTTTTCAAGCTTCACTCGAACCCGCCGCTTCTGTGTCTCCACTCGTCTCCCCCTGACCCCCCCCGCGGAGACCATGTGGCAGGGTGAGGCGGGTTAACAGGCTGGAATCTGCTGGAGTGCGAGTGCGTGCGTGTGTGTGTGTGTGTGTGTGTGTGTACACCAAATTTGGCCCCAGCGCCCAATCATATGTTTTCTAAAGTCCCTCCCTCTGTCGCGCTCGCCCCCCCCCCCCCCCCCCCCCATCCGTCTTTTGTCACTTCTCATGTCCTCATCAAACCTTCGCTAACTATCAAAGCCGCTCAAAGCCGCTAGGCACCTTCCCTCTCCAGCTTCTCTTTCCTTGCCCTTCTCTCTTTTATCACACTTCTGTTTTCTTCTTCCTTTTACTTAAACAAGGCTTCTCTAGCTCGGCGGCCCCCCCTTCACATTGGGTCCCCCCCCCCCCCCTTCCCCACTCCGCCTTGCTCTCCATCTCTCTCTCTCTCCCCACCAGCCCTGCATCCACTGCTTTTAGTCATCTCGCTCCCCAGCTTTCATTCTAAATATTTCACATTCTCTGGGGAGACAAATGTGTCCCTTCGAGGCCAGCGTCGGATGTATTTATGTAGCCGGCCAACGCGGTCAGGGCCGCGCAAACACACACTCGGACCGTATGCGCGCGCTCACTCGCACACGGACCATTAAAATGTCCCTCGGTTATTGAAAATGTGAGCTGGAGGGACGCCAAGCGCCATTGATCGACGAGGACGGAAAGCGAGAGGACGGCAGCACAGGAAAGAGAGCGAGGCGCTTTGGGGCACGGGGGGGGGGGGGAATGAACACGTTAGGAGGTGGAAGAGATTCGGTGTGTGGCGCAAAAGAGCCGTCGGAGCGCTCCAGTGGTCGCCGCTTGTCAGCTGCGCACAAGAGCCGGATGCATAAAATATGAGTTGTAAAAGCGGACGATGATTTCAAACGCACACAATGGTGCTGTGGAGAGATGGCGGGGGGGGTGTAGATGTGGCGGTTTGGAGCGGTCGCGACCACCGAGTTGAGTCAAACATTCAGTTAAGGAGGCAAAGTATCCTGAAAGCGACCGTTAAGTTAGTACGGCATAAAAAGAGATGAGGAAGCTTTGTTCCTTTTCTTTCCCCCCTTTTTTATTTTTTCTCCATTTGTGTATTTTAGGCGTTCACAATCCT